TTGAGGCCTGGCGCTACAGAATCACAAAGAATCGTGCCAAATAACAGACACCACATCACTTGAAGCCTATCGACAGCAGCAACAACTAATATGGATAGCAAATACAACTGGAAGACAAAATAAGGACATGTTCAAGCATTTTACACCACTTCAAATAGAATGCTTTGTAGAAAACTCCCATCGATACGGGAACGATTTATAAGAGATAAAGAAACCTGTATTCTTAAAAAGAAATGTGTTTTCTGAGAAAACATTTAATATATTACAACGGGAAACAGTAGTAACTGTTCAGTCAATGCATGCCGATTATTTGTTTATATGGAAATATCGAATATTGGCATCAGCATTAGTACCATTTGTTTCATACCGTGTGGTACATGCAATCCTGAGGCAGTCGGAAATTTTATTCGGTGATACGGGCAATTTATATTCACCTGGCTAGCTTATAATAATGATGCTAGAATATTCATGACGTTCTAATACAAACTAAACTTAGCACTTCTCTCGTACTTATCGCTTTCGCAACTCTCTTCCGGCATCTTGCTTTACAGTCAACTTTGTTCTTCAAATGCATTGTCAATCGTTATCTTCTGTCTTCTTAATTCTTTTCTTTTATTGTTCTCTCTCCTTAATGTTTTTTTTTCTTATATTCTCTTACATTCAGCAACCCATTTTTTCTTAGTGGCTTTATACCCTTGTTTAGTTGAAATGATTAAAAATATCCACGAAACTTGCTTCCAGTATTTTACAATATATATGTTTGGTTGACTTAGTCAGGTGTGACACCATTTAGGGAAGCAAAGAAAAAGAAGAAAAGAAGGGAAATTAAATGAAATTTTGATAGTGACAAATGGTGAAATTTATTATATTATCGGGAATAGATAACAGCCACTTGGTGCTGGCGAAAATCTAATTGACAAATTCCAGATCGGCTAGCTAAACTCCGGGACAGAATAGATAAACATTTAACTGTGTCACGGGAATGCCCTGTCCACACACGAGCTGAAAAAAAAAAAAAAAAACAAAGAAAATAGGTTAAGTCTTTGTCGAGGGAAAGATATCGTTGGACAAGGTTTTTTGTGTTAGAATCTGGCGATAATAGCGAAACTATTTTATCGGATAAGTTGGCGGTGTTTTGCTAGATGACCACCTACCCTAATGATTGACGAAGTCCAGATGAAAGTTACCTTGGGATAGGAATTGAGATTATCACACTACGGGTCGCATTGTTCTGTTGGCGGCCAGAGAAAAGTGAGAATAGAAAAGAAAAGAAAGAAAGGAATAGAAAAAAAAGAAAAAGAGGAGATAATTCTTTTTCTTTGAGCAAGGTATTTTTTTAAAGAAACAAGGCCTAGTCTGGTCACGCCCACACTGTTGATCGGCCATTGACTGAATGTTAACGAGAGCCAGGAAGCAGGGGGATGCCTGATCAAAGAGGATAGGTATAAGATGTTACTGCAGGGGGATGCCATCTGAAGGTACTGGAAATAATAATTTTTTCCTTAAAAAAGAGGATGTGGATTTGGTATAAGATGTTACTGCGAAGAAAATCAGTTTTCCCAGGAAAGTTTTCCACAGTTGAGTTGAAGTGGGCATCTTGAAGGTAACTCACCTTCAATCCAATAACAATTTATTTTTTGAAGAGCGACTTAGATTCATACCACCAAAACAATTTTTACGACTATCGCCTGAAGACAAAAGAACCAGTTTCTTAAAGAACAGAAACTAAATTTTCAAAAACAACGTGACCGAAAACAAAAGATAGACGCAGGTATCGAGCAACCAGATTGTGGATTTTTTTTGATACCTTGAACTTTTGATCATTATTTTATTTTATTTTACACATATTTGGATACCTCAAACCAAACAAATTACGGCCCAACCTGGTTTTTCGTCTGCGTCCATATAAGATCAACGCAGTTACTTTGGTAACCAGACGTTGGAAGCGAGCTGGAACGACGAGGCTGAAATCTGACCAGTTTCCGAATCCCAGTTGAACGTTTGGTTGCCGCGAGTTCCAGTTTTTGGTCGTCACACAGTCTCCAGCGGACGTCAGTTGAAGAAGCAGGGCCTCGAAGGCTGCGGGACGTCACAGGCACTTTTTGACTTGCGAGGAAGAGTCATTGATTCACGTTCAAACTATTAAAACTTTTTGTTTTTGTTTTTTTTTTTTTGTTTGTTTTTTTTTTTCCAAATAGCGGTTGTTCTGTTTTTATAACTTAACAGAACGGGTATTTCAATCCAACAACAATTTATATTTTTCGGGAGAGCGAAAACTTAGATTCGATTCAGCATTTAATCACCAAAAGCAATTTTTATCCACTATCGCCAAGATGACACACCAAGAACCAGTTTGTCTTATGTTGAACAGACAAATGTTGTTCCGTTTAAGATGTTAATTTTTTTTTAAGAGGAAAATGTCACCTAAAGAAACAACGTGTCACGAATCCATACCATGTTCACTGAGGGAACATCGGTGAGATAGACGCAGTCCTTTCCTTCCAAACACACTATAAAAAACGAAGTCAACCAGATATATAAAAACAGAGTTAAGGAAGAATTTGCCCCAAGTTATCACTTTTTGAACTCCGTTGCCACGACAACCTTATGAACTTTTTAATTTTAATTGATTTTTTTGCCAATGACATTTATTTTTCATATTCTACAATCATATTTGTCTATTCTGTCTATTTCTGTTCCATCTTGAAGCGAATTTTTTTTTGGAATCGCCTGAAGAAGGAAAAAAAGTTACTTTTAATTTAATTTAATTCAAATAATTATGTTGAAGTTTTTTTGTTTGAAACATGAGAACTCTTATAAAATCATATTTTTAAATAAATAATTATATTTATGTTCTAATTTTGTATCGAGCACTATTTTTTAAAATAGTAACAAAAATACTAAAGAACTTTTGGATTATTTACCTAACGAGTTTTTTTCCTATTTATATATATTTTTTACACACACACACACACACACACACACACACACACACACACACACACACATATATATATATATATATATATATATATATATATATATATATGAAGAAATATAGTCTTAAGGTGAGCTGTATTTATTGGATAAAGTGCTCAATATCAGAGATAGAGCGTGTGTGAATATAAAAGTGAACATAGAAGTCAACCCTTAGAGGTGACAGTCTGTTTCATAAGATATGCAAATCGTCAGGCCACCGATTTATGCTGGCCTGACGATTTATATATATATATTTATACATATATCAACCTATCTACCTATATATCTGAGTTTTTATCCATCTCTTTATCACAGTCTCTCTCTCTCTCTCTCTATATATATATATATATATATATATATATATATATATATATATATATATATGTATAAATCTTTTCCTATCTATTAATTCATCTATCTATCTATCTATCTATCTATCTATCTATCTATCAGTTCCTTTCTGTACCAACTTAACAGGCCATAATTCTCCCTTTCCCTCACTCCCTTACTCTATGTTCCTAAGAAATCAACCTCCGCAAACAAGTCCAGTTCATCAGTATCGAACGGCATAAAACATAAAGTGGAAATATGAATATGGACGCTCATACGATGGCATATAAAGTCGATCATCGCTTCTACGTTCATCCAGCCAATTAATACGCATATACAAATTCATTGACTTTTTTAATTTCTTTTTTTTTTTTTGTTGGCAATGAAAATCATCAAATATCCACCGTCGAATCATACGTGCATAAATACTTTTAAAATAAACATACCGATGTCTTGCAATAAAATGCCTTATACACTGGGAAGTTAAAGCGATACAAACAACGGATTATTACATTATAACTGATAGAAGAGGGGAAAATTGAAAAAAAAAGGTATCCGTTCTCTCTAGAATGAAATAAAAAAAAGGAAGCAAAAACATCATCTCTATTAGACGAAAGTGGTTTGTCCGCATCGTTGCGCCTAGCCGCCATTGACCGTCGTCTTTTCTTTCTTTTTTTGTCTGTAGCAGAACGTTATCTTGAAGACAGATTGCACGTTGCGCGAGCCCGATAATCTACTCGCAAACTGCAGTTCTTATCAGAGCCGAGAGTAATTTGTCTTTATTACATGCTGATTTTTTTCTTGTTTTCTTTTATTCTCGCTTTTATTTTTCATTGCATTTATCGTTTCATTATGTTTCTAGTTTCTGTACTTCTTCCTTAGTGACCAATATCTTTACTGCGTTTTTTTTTCTCTCCGATTATTCTATCTTAGTTTCCATTTACTTCCCATTAACCTCATTCATCTTTACTTTCAGTTGTTCGCGAGATATCCTTTCCTTATTTTTTCTTTGCGCATATTTCCCTATAAACGTTATATTTCCTCTTTTTTTCATATACTTCCCTATCAAACTTATATTTTATTCATTTATTTTTATGTATATAGCCCCTATAAATCTTATATTTTCTTTTATTTTTCATAGATTCCTCCTATAAACTTCATATTTTCATTTTTCTTTCATAGTTTTCTCCATGAAATTTAGATTTTCTATTTCATTCTTTTTGCTTCTTTCTTTTTGTATATATATATATATATATATATATATATATATATATATATATATATATATAATATAAAGAACAGTAAGATATAAAACCCGTGTTCTTATAGATATTTTTATTTTTTTACAAAATAGTGCTCAATGTAAATTTACAGAGCATTAATATTATAAAATTAATTGATTTAAAATATGTTTTTTTCATTTTCAACAGTTCAACCATGTTTCAAAAATAGAAGCTAAAAACCCCGAATTTTGCAAATAAATTAAGCATTAGTTCCATCTCATCTTCAAGCGATGGAACTAATGCTTTTAATTTAATTGCAAAATTAAATTCGGCGTTTTTAGCTTCTATTTTTGAAACATGGTTGGAACTGTGTAGCGAAAAAAAACATTTTAAATCAATTAATTTATAATATATATATATATATTTATATATATATATATATTCTCTTTTTTTTCGTATTTGCTCCCTATGAATTTTATATGTTCATTCTTTCTTTTCGTAAATTTTTTCTATATATTTCGTATTTTCTTTCGTTCTTTCTTTCATATATTTCTCTATAAAACCTATATTCCTTTCTTTGTTTTTCTTTCTTTTTTCTTTCTTTCTTTCCTTTCAAATATTTCTCCAAATATATTCTTTCTTTACATATATCGTCCCCATGAATCTTATATATTATTTAAATATTTTTCTATTTTCTTTCGTAGATTATACATACATTGCTATAATTTTTACTTCATTCCTTACATGTATTTCCCCTATTAAACTTTTATTTACTTTATTTATTTCCATATGAGATTTATATGTACATTCTTTGCATACATTTCCCCTATAATTCATTTTTTCTTATTTTTCTGTCCATATATTCTGTCTCTTTCTTTCCAAGCATGAAATTAAAATAATATGACATTTGTATATTTCTTTCTTTCTTCTCTATTCTTCATTTCTCATTGACTTTTAATTCTTTTGTTTTTCTTTCATTTGTTTTTCTTCTTTCCCTTTAAATTCATTTCTTTAATAATTGTTTTTTTTTCTTTATTTGTCTAAATACATAAGCATTTCTTATTTCCTTTCTCTCTTATATAATATATATTTCTTTATTTTTTCATTCTTACTTCATTCTCGATATATTTTTGTTTATCATAACGAAATAACATTCCTTTCTTTCTTAAGTTTTTCTATCTTTATTTCTTATGTAATATATCTATCCTCTTTTTTCTTTGTTGTTTTCTTTCTTTCTTTCTTTCTTTCATACGCTCTTTTTTCTTTCATTCGCTCTTTCTTTCTTTCATTTGCTCTTTTTTCTTTCATTCGTTTTTTCTTTCTTTTATTTGCTCTTTTTTTTTTTTTCATTTTTTTTTTTTCTTTTTCTTTCATTTGCTCTTTTTTCTTTCATTCGCTCTTTCTTTCTTTCATTTGCTCCTTTTTCTTTTATTCCCTCTTTCTTTCTTTCATTTGCTCTTTTTTCTTTCATTCGCTCTTTCTTTCTTTCATTTGCTCTTTTTCTTTTTTATTCCTAATTTCTTTCTTTTCATTTTCTTTTTTCTTTTTTCTTTCATTTGCCCGTTTTTTTCTTTTTTTTTTCATTTGCTCTTTTTTCTTTCATTCGCTCTTTCTTTCTTTCATTTGCTCCTTTTTCTTTTATTCCCTCTTTCTTTCTTTCATTTGCTCTTTTTTCTTTCATTCGTTTTTTCTTTCTTTCATTTGCTCTTTTTTCTTTCATTCGCTCTTTCTTTCTTTCATTTGCTCCTTTTTCTTTTATTCCCTCTTTCTTTCTTTCATTTGCTCTTTTTTCTTTCATTCCTTTTTTTTCTTTCATTTCATTTTTTTTTTTAAATTGGATCTTTTTTCTTTCATTTGCTCTTTTTCTTTCATTCGCTTTCTTTTGCTCCTTTTTTCTTTTATTCCCTTTTCTTTCTTTCATTTTTCTCCTTTTTCTTTTATTTGCTCTTTTTTCTTTCATTTGCTCTTTTTTTCTTTCATTCGTTTTTCTCTTTTTTTTGCTCTTTTTCATTTCTTACTTTTCTTTCATTTGCTCTTTTTTCTTTTTATTCCCTCTTTCTTTTCTTTTTGCTCTTTTTTTTTCATTTGCTCTTTTTCTTTCATTCGCTCTTTCTTTTTCTTTCTTTTCATTTTTCTTTCTTTTTTTTTTCTTTTCATTTGCTCTTTTTTTTTCATTTTTTCTTTTCTTTCTTTCATTTGCTCTTTTTTCTTTCATTCGCTCTTTCTTTCTTTCATACGCTCTTTTTTTCTTCCTCATTTATTTGTTGATTTCATCTTCGTTACTTACACTGCGTACATATTTTTATTTCTCTTTTCCGTCTTTAGTTTCCATACATTATCATTGTTTTTTTAATTTATACCTTTTTTCTTTGCTCGATTTTTCTCTCGATTACTTACAACATTATTTATTATTCTGTATTTAACAAAAAAAACATTTATTACTCGTGTTTTATTCTCTACTTTCTCGTTCTTGTCGAGCTAATTTTATTACATCAGTCCTGTACGTTTAGTCTTAATTAATCAATTTTACTCTTAGATTATCTCCCTTTTATTCATTTTTTTTTATATATTTCGTCTATTTTCTTAAATATATTTTTACAAAATCTTACGGCTTTTCTTTCTTTGTTCCTTTTCAATTTTTAAAACATTTTTCATTCCCTTTGTTTCTACCCCACTTTCGTTTGTTTTTTTTTCCTATTTATTTTTTCAGCAAATCCAGACATCTCCAATTCTTTCCACATATTTCAAATCACTACTTTCCATTCGCAGGTATTTATTGTTTTCTTTGCTTTTTATTCTTTAGAAATTGTCCATAAATCAGATTTCTCTCTAAAGAAACAGTTTCCCTATTACAAACGACAATATATTCCGCGCCAATCTTTTTTATATTCCTTCCTACAATCTCCTTGTACTACAAGCCCGCATACGACTTCATTATCCGGCTTTATAAAAATGACAGACGGACACATATTTGCGTGTCTAATACATACTTCTAAAATCTTTTTTTCTTTATTTGAACAGCGACTTTGTTTCATTTGACCAACATTATTGTGTTGCCTTGTTACAACGATATAGTCACAAAAGACAGCAAACAGTTATATAAATTACATGGCGTACTTATTTTCATGGACATCATTAATAAGAAGGATATCGTTTCTGTTGTATATATCACTTTATTTTCCGCCATAAATATATATCATTATTATTTATGCTTCGTTAATATAATTCGCATCTCTCTATATTGCTGAGATGAGGTATTATGTACACTATTTACATTATTCGGACTATTGTCCTCATATTTGTTGTCATATTTAATATAACGCTTCGGCCGTTGTACGCTCCGACCTTCTTCAGGTGGTTGGAATGTCGAACTGAAAACTTTATTTCGTTCGCTGGGTTAGACGTGCCATGTCTAATGAATGTCAGTTATCAGTTATCTCGTTGTATTTCCCCTTTCCAAGTTCTCCTCCGCCTTAACCAGGTATTGACCTCACGCTGGCACAAAGATACATGGCACAGTGGATAAAGGTATTTGTTAGATCCAGTGACAGGACCTAACGATTGTGAGTTCAGTCCCTGCTTAAGTCGATGGAGAACTTGGAGAGAGAAATTAACCTCATGTTTTTGAAGATTTCCAGCATCTACATTCATACCAAACCATAACAATCTTATCACAATTTAAAAAATATTCATTCATTAACAAATATTTCTTACCAGGCTTTTAATTATGGCAATGTATGGCACTTTGAACCACCTGCTGAATATTCATGAACGTTCTCAAAGTTAAATGGCCTCATAAGCCAATGGCATCCTTGCTCTTGTATATTTCAAACATTAATATTTCATAGCTATAATTTATTTCATTGGATTCGTAATAACGACACAATTATACCTACCAAAATGAAAACAAATTTCAAAATATATATATATATATATATATATATATATATATATATATATATATATATATATATATATATATATATATATATATATATATATATATATGTGTGTGTGTGTGTGTATATATATATATATCTGTATTTAAATTGAACACTAGTATCAGATATGTATATATATAAAATGATTTTTCTATTTCATTTAAGCATTGCATCGCATCCACATATCTGAACAGTACGTCAAACAGATATATGAAAATTCTCACGTGACCGGAAGTAAAAGTGTTCCTCAGATGTTCTGGTATTATGAAGAATTCACATTCAGGAAAAAACTAGCACCCTCACAGCAACTGACCGACAGAAAATGAAAACGCCCGGGGTTGAATAATATATCATATCAGGCATGAGAGATTTTGTATTGTGTTTCCTTTTACAGCGATATTGTTACATTATGTCAACTGATTTTTTTTTCTTCTTAGGGGATAGGAAATTTCAGGAAGGAAACTTCCACAATTATCTGTCATTTGCTGTACGGATAAATGTTTGTCCATTTATTGTCTCTAGTCAGTCTTGTACTGTCGTTCTGTTAGACAAATTCAAGTAAGGAATTTGTTGTTTAAACTCTGAATTTTACCCTACTTTATATACTAGGTCTGTTAAATCATCCAAGTTTTGATTCTTCATTATGTGTACCGGAGATGTCAGCTTTTACTTTGTGATTGTTGCTACCAAAATTTTAGCATTTTATATTTTTCCTTAAAACTATACTCTTACTTAATGTTCAGACTAGTTTTTATACTCAATATTTATCGTTTCTAAGTATAATTATCTATCTTCATACTTAGCTCTCTTTTTAAAGACGTCTTTATCAGATTCCTCACACTTCTTCTGTATATTATCATTTTTGTGTATAGCAATTGTTTATTGGCAGGCTTAATAGGTACAGATATTTACTCAAACTAGAAATGAAAGAAGTGAAGAACTGATTGACGAAATCAAACGAATATAAATGAAGAAAGATATAATGCTTACAAAGTGAAATGCGCTAAATACCTTCTCCCCGACCCTGAAATGAAAAGCTATCAAATATTTTAAAAAGTATGTTCATACTCGCAAACTTGTCAGGTCATGTTATAGAGATAGGTAAATTTCTGAAATGTTTTTTTATTTTATAATCAACAATACGTAATTCAGAAGTTGGGCTGTGTCTAATTTTGACTATCTTGTATTTGGTTTTCATACTGTTAGTAATTCATTCTTTTTGGTTTCATATAATAATATTTCTTATTGTATTTTCAATTTTATTGTAGGAATAATGATTTTTTTATGTTATTCCCTATATACGGCTATCCATGGCCAAACGTTTCTAATTTTATATTCTTCTGAACCAGTTTGCTGCATGTACTTTAGTTGCGTTTTAACATCTCTTGTTCGTTTTTTTTTTTTTTTGTTCATGGCAAAGACAGCAAGTTGCTTTGTCTGTTTCTTCTTTGATGTAATTAGATCTGAATCCTTTGTTCCGTGCTGCAACGATAAGGGATTCCGTTTCCTCTGTGTAACCCAGTCCAGGATTCTTCATTTGCTGTAGTTTCTATCTGCCATTTATATTCTTCGAGTAGAGTTTTTTTTTCCCCCCATTTCGATTTTCTTTCTTTTTTGCCTAGTCCCGTGTGTCCTACATTTATCATTGACTACTCTATTCTGAGCGTCTTTCAAAATCTATTTCAGTCATTTGAATATAATCCGCGATTATGATACGTGTCTTATTGATTTTCTTCTATTTTACATGCAGTCAGTCTGTATTCTCACTGGGGGTCTAACACCATGTATATTATCTTTAACTTGCTACACTGTCGTTACATCATATAGAGTTCCCATTTGCCCATAGATGTAAGGTTGCTAATGTATCAATTTTAATACCGCACGTCTATTTATTATCAAATTTATTATTATTTATTATTAAATAATATATCTTGCTTTCTGGTATGTTGTCTTTGCCTCCTAATGAACACCTTTTTATTAAAAAATATTTTTTTATTTTTTTTCATTGAATTTACTCCAATCAAAGCAGTAAAGTCACTAAGACACAGAGGATTACTAGCTGTGATCGAATTAGAAGACAAATATTAGTAAGGATCTAGAAAAATAGAATAGTAATCAGGAAGACATTGCATTTAAATTTTTGAAGATCAAAGTCAAATGGAAAGCATGGGGCCGGAAGAGAGCGCCATAAGTGAGAAGTAGGAGAAAAGGAAATGCTAGCATAGAACTTACGGTTACATCAAGCCACTTCAACTGTAAATTGATGATACATACTTGCTAATCTCATATTGCGCTTAAATTCACAAATTCTACGTACCATAGTCAAGAGGTCATCCGAACAATTTCTACAAATTATTTATTGCAAATGTAGACGGAAGCAATTTTACAGAGTGGGAAAGGGACTGAAGCAGAGACGCCAGTTCAGGACCAATAATATTTACTGATTCTTTTGTTTTATCAAGAATCTTTAAATAAATAACAAGAGCACAAAACCATATGTAGCAGCTCGATTTTATTCTTGGATTTTGGCCATATCATTTTGAAACACAGGTAGCCGAAGTCAAGCAAAATTGTGCTTGGTCAATACCTCGATAGGTGACCGCTTTGTTGTAGGCTTGGGCGTAAGAATAGTGTAATTGATAATGGAACTGAATTGTTAATCGGGGAGACCAGTTCCGATTCCCGTTGGGTTTGATTTATTCACTTTGGAAAAAAAATTCCTGTGAGATATATGAATCCACATCTTCTCCCCCAGCTATGAGTTCATTAGTAAAATTTATATCAGCGAAACCTTTATTATCTCAAAAAATTGCGTACATCATATTTAGATTTCAGCATTAAATACCCTAGAGTGTTTGATATGTAGCTAAACAAAAACAAGCAGCCATTTCTTTCTAGTAATTTTCTTTGAACCGAACATGTGAGCAATAACGAGTTTTTAGAGAAAATGAAAACAAACGGGATACTTGCTTAACATCAGGAAGAGGCAGTTGACATTTGTGAGGCAAGTCAAAAGGAAGTTGGGTTTGGAAAATCTAATACATGACAGATTGAGGGAAAGAGGGTCAGAGGAAATCAGCGTGTAACATACTTGTTGGGATTGAGTAAATTGTTTGTAGAGCAGGTTTGGAGAGAAATAAGAAAAAGACAAAACAAGGGACAAGAAGATGTGAAGGGCCGTTATTGTCTATGTCCTGAAGAAGAAGAACTTTTTAGCCGCCTATTGCCCATATTTTTTAATTTCCTCATTTCATTTTTATTAAGAGAAATGTATTCACGTCATCCCAGGCGATTACGAGGAGCGTTCAAAAATATCTAAGCTTCACCCAGAAAGAAGAGTCATATCTAAAGAAAGAAGAGTCATATCTAAAGAAAGAAGTGTCGTTTCTAAAGAAATAAGAGTCATATCTAA